TGGGCTCCTCTCGGAGAGCGCAGAAAAACCCCACGGCCAAATTTTTTTTATTTTTTTTTCCTGGTTTTAGTGTTCGGGCACGTAGGCACACGTGTCCGAAGCCCAACGCGCGAATTCCGTTTTTTGGAATTCGACGCGACACCCCCGTTTTTGCGTTTAACGCGATTTAACGGGGGTCGGGGGCCCGTTCAACGGATGAACGCGCGTTCAATTTTTCACGTTCTCCGTTAAAAAGATACACAGCTGAGCGAGGTGAGCAAGTAGGAAGAGATTTGTTCATTGACGGACTCCGCAGTCGGACAATAAGGGCTAAGTTGCGAAAGCATTTTTCCCCCATCATCCATACGCTACAAAAATTATGGCTGCTGCGGAAGAAATGGAACGGAAGTTCGCAGCGAACTTCCTGGAAGGAGAAGATTACCCTAGAGACGGAGATTCGACCGAGCTCGCTCGAGCAAGAGCAGAGCTGGCTGCTTTACAAAACAAATTTGAAAACATGGGGTTTGTATCAAGACCTGTCACCTATATGGAGTAGATAGGCCCCAAACGGGTAATCATAAGTGAGACTCCGAGCATCTCTGCTCCTATGATGCCCCCGCTCGTCAGGGCATTACCCCCGCCACCGGTAGAGGCTCCCGTACGATCAAACGAATCGGCGGCCATTTTGGAACTAACCAAAACCTTGATTAGTTTGATCCAAGAAAGCAAAAAGGAGCAGCAAGAGCACAATGCTCGGCTGGAAGCCATGATAAGGAACATGCGACCTATTGCGGTGCGTGCCCCTCCGATGCAACAAGGATTAGCCCCGCCCATGCTCTCGGAGGAGCTGCGAACAATCTGAATGTTTGTTACGCCTGTCATCAGCCCGGACATCTAGCCCGTGACTGCCCCCACCGACCCCCACAACAGCGGATCGGAGTCGCACGTATGGCTGCGGCCCCCATCGCCAACGGACCTGGACGAGTCGGAGCCTTGATGGAAGAAGTAGAGGGTGGGGGAAGTGCCCTGGCCACCGCGGAAGAGGCCGCCGAGCTAATTCCGCTAGACCAGTATGTATCGCTGGGATATCCTGGGCTAGGAATGATCGGAACAATCAGACCAGCGCCAGAACCAAAAGAGGTGGCGGAGTGGCGACCGTCCTTAGGAGAAATGAAGTCAAGAGGACCCACCTTCGTCACAGGGAGATCGATGTGTTAAACATCATCCGAGCATTGGACCATCGGATTCCCCTTCCGATTAGTCATCTACTCTCGATCTCCAAACAAGTCAACGAGCGAATGTTACAGCACTGTAAAGCGAATCGAAAATGATTCGCTCTCGCCCGAACACCGAATGTAAAAGCCAAAGGCCTCGCGCTGGAAGAAAACCCAACAAGCACTCCGTATCCGATACAGATAGGATTAATTCAGAAAGACGATCATTTCCCACAGATTAAACCCATTCCGTGGAAATCCGCAGAGTGCGATATAGAAATTTGGGGAATTCCTTACAACGCCATTATAGACTCAGGAGCAACTGTGTTGACTATTTCACTAAGAGTGGTCGAAAGGGAAGGCAGGAAAAACGATCTGATCATGCTCATCGAGAAAGATCAGCTCGTCTCGGCAGATGAGGAAAATATTAAAACTGTGGGGAGAATGACCAATGTCGCCTTCTGATTAGGAAAAGTACGCGCGCTTGGGGATGTCGTAGTGCTAGATGTTAATACGTGCGACGTTCTTTTCGGACTTCCCGCTCTTGTGGCGTTACGAGCAAACCTGGATTTCGAGCGACGAGCGATCGTCCTCTGAAATACAGGAGGAAAACCCTATGTTGTGCCTATGCGATTAACCCTTCGCACTGCTATTAACGCGGTTCCACGGGTTTTGCCGATGATGGCAGGGACTCTCCGCATGATCTCCTTGGACGAACCCGCAGAAGGAAAGTCATCAACTGAAGATGCGGAGAGCAGTGACGAGGATGATCCGGAGATCTTGAAATTGGCACGACAATGTGTTTGTTACCCACCGCCCAGAACGATAGCGAGAACGATGCAACTGACCAGCCGAAGAATTCAAAGGACCAAGGCGATGATCTTGGGAGAACCCCTCGTGCAGATTTCGAGGATGGTCGACTCTTGGGAACCCCCTCAAACCCTGTATGAAGGGATCACCCCTCTCCTCGCCAGGTACAGCGACAAAAAGCATTTTTGCGACATTACGAAACTACCTCAGTCTTTACTAACATCGGTTAAAGAAGTGAGATTGTTGCGCTTGGGGGCGGAAGCAAGCTCTCTGGAACCCCCTGGGCATTTCGAAGCAGAGACATACGGATTGGGGATAAATATCGCAACTCAGGAAGTGCCATGGCAGGATGTTTGTGACGAGAATACCCCGGAAGGACACGTGGCAATCCGAGAAGAAGATGCTCAGATGATGGCCACGGTGTTCTCCTGGCGATCGGATCATTCATTCATCTCGGCGCCTCCACCCGATTGACAAAATAGGCGAATATGAAACAAATTGACGTTCGGATCTGGGACCAACTTTTTGAACTACATGTTCCACAATATGTGTCGGATGAAATTCACCGGGTAATTGCGGATATTCTAACGGAATACGAAGGAGCCATTAGTGTGTCAGACACTGACATCGGGTTGTCGTTAGTAATCCTACATGAAATTCAGACAGAAAATCACTCCCCAATTCATTGCAAAACTTATCGTTATTCCTTGATTGAACGCAAAAAGGCTCTCGAACGAATTCGAGAGTTCGAAGTCAGTGGTTGGATTGAACCCGCTACCGGACCTTGGTCCTTCCCTGTAGTATTAGTGCCGAAGAAAAACGGGGCGATTCGCATTTGCATTTATTATCGCAAGCTGAATGAAATCACGATCAAAGATGTGTATCCCCTCCCCCGGATTGATGATCTCTTGGATGCGATTGGGTGCGCTAATTATTTCAGCAAATTTGATATTCGGCATGGCTTCCATCATATTCTGGTAAGGGAAGAAGATCGACCGAAAACGGCCTTTGTGTTGTTTGAGGGCATGTGGCAGTGGGTTCGATATCCGATGGGGATTTGCAATGCGCCTGCCACGTTTCGGCGAGCAATGAACATGACGTTCCAAAATTTCATCAACAAGACACGGTTGACGCAAGGGATGATTAACTTCTGCGTGATCGTGTACATGGACGATATCCTAGTTTATTCGGAGACTTATCACGGGCACGCGCAACATATTGAATGGACATTGGGCGCACTGAGAGATGCTGGGTTCAAAATTGCGCTCGAGAAAAGCGAATTTTTCCTCTCGAAAATTTCGTTCTTGGGCTATGTCGTGCCACTTGGAGGATTGCGGCCGGACTCGAGAAAAGTTGCGCCAGTAAAGGAAGCCCCGGTTCCCATGTCACTGACCCAGGTTCGAGCCTTCTTGGGACTGGCATCATACTACCGGCGCTTCATCAAGGGCTTTGCCACGATTGCACGACCGCTAACGAACCTGTTACGGAAGGACCAACCTCTCAGTTGGGACGCGGAGTGCCAGCAGGCCTTTGCAACCCTCAAAGACGCTCTGGCAACGGCCCCTATTTTGATTCGGACGGACCCCTCGAAGCAGTTCATCCTCATCACGGACAGGCAACCGGAAGCTATTTCCGCTATTTTAGCCCAGAAGGGGAACGATGGTCGAGAACAAGTCATCGAGTACGCGTCTCGAACCGTACCGGACGAACGAAGAAACGACTCCGCACCTCAAGGCGAGTGCTATGCGGTAGTTTGGGGAATCCAGCACTTCCATCCGTATCTCTACGGACAGAAGTTTCGCCTCGTAACGGATCACGAGCCTCTGCTGGCGTTGAAGAAGCTCACCAACTACACGTGCATGATTTTCCGTTGGGCGGTGCGATTGCAAGAATATGACTTCGATATCGTCCATCGAAAGACAGAGCGACACGGCAACGCGGACGGGTTGACACGTCTGCACCGACCTGTCAAGGTACCAAAGAGCGAGGGAATTACACCATGGAAGGAGTCGGATCTGACCAACGAGCCTAAGTACAGACAAGTGGCAGTCCTCCCACGTGGCAAGAAGCCAAACGGCGGCGATGGGTGACGGAGGTAACCCCACTACCCCTCTCTCCCCCCTTTCCTCCTCGTCTCTCCTTTCCCTGCCTGACAAATTTTCCTATTTTTGCGAAGCCATCTCCCGCGTATACTCGGTCTCCTCGTGTCCTAACGGAGAAGGGTATGTCGATTGGATAGATTGTCGACAGTGCATCGCACGAGCCCATGGCTCGTGCATCCAATACAGAAACGATAATAAACCGTGGTTGTGCCCTTTGTGCCGGACCAACAAGATTCCAACCGAGGCTCGCTTTTTGGATGCCACGTCAGAAGGATTGGAAAAGACCCGGAAGTTTAGAAGGGCCGAAGTATGGACAGATATTGCCTTGATTGCCACCCTAGTAGGTAACCCCCTCTAGGATTTCACTAAGGAAGATCGGAGGAGGGCCAACGAAATGGCTCGGGATTATCGATGGATAGAGGGTAGATTAGAAAAACGAAAAACGGACGGTAGTGGGATTTGGATGGTAGTGCCGCATCCGTTTATGAGGTACGACTAGGTTAAGACAGCCCACGAGGAAACTGCGGCTCATTTTGCCGTACGAATCACGGAGTCCACTATCGACAAAAATGAGTGGTATTGGTCCAATATCCGCGACAATGTGAAATACATTGTCGCCAACTGTCAGGTCTGCGCCGCTGACAAGGCGCCGATTCAGCCGCCAAGATCGATAGTGCCCACGGTTGTTGAACGACCATTTCAAAGAATGAGCGTGGATACTACCGACATAGTGGTGCCCCATGGCCCTAATAGCTGCGAATATTCAATCCTATTGGTATTTGTCGACCATTTCTCGAAATGGATCGAAGCGTATCCTTGTCGCACGCGGCAAGCCACGGAAATAGCGCGGTATGTCAACCGTTTCCTCGGGATGCATCAGGATACGGAAGAGATCCTGACCGACAACGGGGCTGAATTCAGAGGAGAAGTGTTAAAGAGTCTGGTCATACATGGCGTCGCCATACGGAACACCGCACCCCACATGTCACAATCCAATGGGCTGGTCGAAAACGCCAACCGGGTGATAAAGACCGCATTGCGACGAAATATTGCGGCATGGGATCCGAGGCCCTTGCCTGACATCGTCGATCACATCCTGGCGGTCCATCGCAGAAGGCCTCACGAATCAACGGGGTTGAGCCCCTTCCAATTAAGAACCAATAACGTCGCTTGCGTTTCAATACCAAGCCTCCCGGACGAGTCTACATTGAACCGACAACCCACCAGGGCCACGGCTAGGGACAAGGCCAAACGGCACCTAGAGCTAATGGAACGGTCACTGCCCAGGCTAGCCCGAAAACGACAGAAAATGACCGAACTAGCCCAAGGCCGACAGATCCGGAGCTACGAGGCCCGAAATGGGAATGCGGGTCCACGGCCCTAGTACAAATTTGGGGACGTGGTGCAGGTGAGGAAATGTGCTCGCCGGGGTAAGCTAGCGCCACGATTCTTCGGGCGATATCATGTGATCGAGCTCGGCCCCAACAGCGTGGACACTGTGCGTCTCGCCCCGGAAGCCTCTGGCAGCCGATCGGCCCGCCCGATCACACGCCACGTGTCCTATCTTCGCCTCCTCCCCTCTGCTCCGTCTCCTTCTCCCTCGATCTCTCCTTCTGAGGAAGCCGAAGACGACGACTCTGACTCTCAGCCATCCCCCTCTTCCTCTTGCTCCCTCTCTGCCTCTCCGTCTCCATCGCCATCGCCATGAGTTTTCTGGAGGAAAGAGCCCTCAGCGAAGCATCGCTTGCACCCCGTGATCGATTGATGATCCGGCAAGTCTATCATCCCCATCTCAGTCCAGATCTTCGGCGGCTTGCGTACTTTTTCTGCACGGGAAGCGTGTATGTAGCGGCGGTGTTCAGAATCGAGGGTCGGCCCAACGCAGTGGTACTGGCCGAGGCGGTAGCAGTTCATCAGCGAGCGGTGCCAGGTGTCAGCCGCATATCGGTCGTCATCAACTTCCGTGGCGATCTCTCCACGCTCCTCCCTTTATGACATTCGGCAGTGAGGACATCACTGCGTGCGTGGGCAAACGATCTGGTCGCCGAGTGGACCCAGCTTCTGGCTCGCCCCGGGGACACGGTCGTGCTGACACGAGCGATCGAATACGACGGCCTTCGGATGTACCAGCGTGATCCGCCGGCGGTTCTCCCTGTTGTTGTTCCCTTCCCTCGCCCCCAATGAGTCTCTCTCCGATCTCCGTTTTCGATCTCCCCTCCACCCTCCCCACCTTCTGGCAGTCCGATCTCCATCCTCGCCTTTCCTACTGTCTAATGACCCTTGCTGTCCCCGACATTCATCCCTCGCACTGGCAACCGTTTCCCCCACTTCCACCGCATCGTCCGCTACCAAGCGCTTCCAGAATCTGCAGCCGGGATGGAAAGGTTCCTGCCCCCGCTACCCCTAAGCCCTCCACCCCGCCATGCCGCCATGCACCGGCTCCCTTTTCCCCTTCCAGTTAATTACTGATGCAACCGGTAATGGCGCGTGTCGCGGTAACGGCACGAGAAAGATCCCGTCCTTGGACTGCCAAGAGCCCAATCTGAGGAAGTAGTAGAAGAGCAAAGTTGCCACGTTGGATGACGTCCGCACGCAATCGAACGGTAAGTGGCATGAAGAGAAGTGCTCCGCGTGTCGATCGATTAGAGAAATCGACACGTGTCAATAAGCAAGCAGGAGCTTGCTAATATTGGAACCCCCTGGGCGTCACATATGTGACGAACCACTTTTTGTAACGGGCGAGTTTCTGCGCGGTTGCAACGAGGGGTCCTAAACTGGGAAGATCAGGCCAATTACGGGAAATCGGGATCGGTGGAAAATTGCATCAGTACCCTTGCTTCTTTGCCTTTTTCGTCGCTTCTTCAGGGCTGGGTGTGTCCTGGGACGACCGGTGGATTGATTGGTCGGATGGTTGTTTGACGCGATGCCACACGTGCGCACTATTAATGTCGACGTCGTTTCTTTTGGTTCGGTTTTCGATCTTTGGGGCGCGGACATCGCACGGGAAATTGCTTCGTTCGTTTTTGAAATTCCTCTGGAGTCTTTTTCGAATTTTGTCGAGCCCCCAATGGCTCTCGGAATTTCGGACTTTCCTTTTGAATTCGTGCTTCTTTTTGCGTTCTCGCATTAGATAGGAATTTAGGAATTTAGTAATTAGGATTTTCCCTGCCGCGCGGCGTCTTTTGTTTACGCGCTTCTTCATGCGGCTGCAACGGAACTCTGATTAGCAGGCGCCCTTAATTGCGTGTGTAACTGTAATTTTGGGCGGACGCCATTGTAACTGTATCTCTCATCTTGCACTTCGTCTCTCCCGCCCTCCCTCTCTTTCTTTTGCTGAAATTTTGTAAGCCGCGACTTGCATGCTCGGATCGATGCGTGGAGAAGGGTTACGTCCCCCACGCCGCGACCGATCATGCAGAACGCAGGCGTCCTTTCTCCAACCCTCACTCTAAGTCCTAGTAATTCCGCGTTCTTCGCGCATGCATGCACGCTATAAATTTTGGCTGCGCGATTAGTGAGCTCTCTTAACCCGTTGTTGGAARCTCGGGGTTGCGYGATCARGAAGGGTCGGCACACGAGCGAAGTAAGAGGTGARTAGAGTAGGAGTTGGGCGACCCGRCGGGYTGGTGYCGAACGCGCGRGATTGACGTGGSCCACCACGGACTGTGGGCACGGGCGAATCCGACGGGTCCGGGAGGACTAAGCGGGGTGACAACTTCGTGGGTGGGTGCGTGACGACGGACTATCCGCATCGGAGAAAGAGAGAGAGAGGAGGAGAGAGTTGAGATCGATGGACGCGGATTTGCTRTTTCTTTGTCTCTTCCCCCTCTCCATCTGTGTACATACATTTTGATTACGGCTCCRGACRGTTTGCCCGTTSTTATTTTCGTTTCRGCTTTCTGAGATTTGGGCTTRRGTTTTTGCTCACACTTRTCTTTGYTATGGCATTATGCGTATGATTATCGAATGTATGGATGTATGAATGCGTGGATGTGTGGACGTTATGCCTGTYTATATATATATCTTTTTGTTGAGAATCCCTRTCCTTGYCTTTTGTTTGTGTCGAATCTTTGCCCACACCTGATGCAGTTGTAGATGGGATAGGAATATGGYCCCRATAGYGATTTTGTCCTCRTTTTTGCTTATCTCACGATGAGGGTTGTGATATGGTTGCATCTGACATAATCCGAAGCAATTAAACGATCCGAGGTCTGGCTCGGCGAGACGCCGCGCGAGAACACATGTAAACGCGATCCGAGTCGCGCCCTTACACGCATTCCCGCGCGACGACCCGCTCCCCCAGAAAGGAGTCAGGACGGAACCATCATCCCGTGCGAGCACGCTGAGGCGCCACTGAATCGGTCTGTCCTGCACGTGCTCGTACGCGGTGACGAAAACCCGACCCCGCTATCCCACCGACGATGATACCATGACGCGATCTTGGAGCTCAGACTCGTCCTACGACCCGGATTATTTCACCCCTATAATAAACGAGCTCATAAGGACACGATACCTCTGTCACACGGAGAATCAGTTATGTTCGCCTTAATTCCACTGTGCTACCACCAGCGACCCTCGTTGCTCCGATTTCCCTTCCCCCGACCACACATACTACTTCACCCACCCAGGATTCGTTGAGATCACCACCAGTTTCCCTCCTTTCCGCCTCCTTCTCTCGTATCATCAACTCAGTGTCGTTCCGTGGCCGGCCATAGCCCCCTATTGGCCCAATACGTTTTGCGTGAACTGCCGACGCAACGATGCGCAAAACACTCCGGAATTTCGGAGGCCCAACCCAGGTACGAGGCAGCCTGCGCCGCGTGGCGGCCCCCGACGGCCTAACTTTTCATGACCACCTCCACCACGGAGGAATTTTCCCGTAACCTGTCGCCCAGAGTGTCCCGGTCCCATCAGACGGTGAGTCCCTTGCGCACGCTCGCCTAATTGCATTCATACCCTTAAGACTCCCCCACTTTCCCCAAAAATCTTTGGCACACCCCTTTTCGCACTTCCAGGCCCATACCCCACTTCGATCTGGAAGTCGCGCTGGGCGTGAGGTTGGGCGTCACAA